AACGTAATATGTAAAATACCAATGCCTAGTTGGGGATATGTCAGGATATTGGGATGGATGTCTTCTAGCCATGCCATATAAGATTTTAAAGGTCAAGATCAGCAACTTAAATTGTGCCCAAAAGAAAATGGCAACCAATGCAGCCTGTGCAACAAAGGTGCAATGTATATCCTTTGAGGGCAAACATAACTGTCCCTGCAGCCACATTGTCTACCTGCTAAAGTTTCCAAATGGTCTTTAAGGGCAGCCCAGTGTAGGGCATGTTACAGCAATCCATTCTGTTGGTAACCAGAGCATAAATGACAGTGACTAGAGTCTCATGGTCCAGGAAGGGATGCAACTGGCATACAAGACAAAGTTGTGTAAAGGCCCTCCTAGCCGCAACCACCACCCTGTATATCACGGATGAAGCTAGGGTAATTACATCTAGTATCCAGGCAATTAGCACAGGTGTCCCTCAGGGCTGTATGCTCTCTCTCCATTGCTCTTCTCTCTCTATACCAATGACTGCACATAAGATAATCCTCTGTTAAAGTATTGAAGTTTTCAGACGATACAATGATCATTGGCCTCATTCGATAGCGTGATGAGTCTACACATAGTTGGAAGGTTGAACCTGGCCCTGTGGTGCAGCCATAACAATTTGGAGCTGAACATGCTTAAAACTGTAGAGATGCGACTGGAGTTTGGGAGGAGCCTTTTTATTTTACCACCTATTACTATCTATGACAGCACAGTATAGCAGTACACGCCTTCACGTTTTTGGTATTTTATAACCTCCTAGGACTTAAAATGGATATTTAATATTAGAATCATCATTAAAACGGCACAACAAAAAAGATGTTCTTCCTGCATCAACTCAAGAAGGTCAGACTGCCCCTGAAGCTGTTGATATATTTTTACAGAGGAATTATTGAGTCTGTCATTTGTAACTCTAAAACTGAATGGTTTGGTACTGCAACCAACAGAACAAGTACAGACTCTGATGGATAGTTAGGACTGGAGAAAAAAACAATTGCAATCAGCCTGCCTTTCATAGGCTTGTATGTTGTGTGGATCAGAGGAGGGCCAAGAAGGTATCTACAGACCTCTCACATCCTGGACATAAACTATTTCAACTCCTCCCCCTGGGATGGCGCTATAGGGCCCTGCTTGCCAAAACAACTAGATATGGGGACAGTTTTCTCCATGCCATCACTCTGCTAAACACATAATTTTTACAATGCTGTCTAATGTCTTTGTATATTTCCCCATGTAATGTGGCTGTAGTATTATTATTTATCCTTTTTATTATCTTCTTTAGTCCTACCTCCACTTTTATTGGTATGATTATAATTATTCTGTTGCTTTGCATGTGTACTGAGTGCTCCTGTGCTGGAGATAAATTCCTTGTGTCGAATCACATAAAATTCAATTCAGTTCAATTCAATTCAATTCAATTCAAGGAAGCATCTAACCTGAATCTTGAGTGGAGATACACTATAAGATATACTAATTGTGGTGTGTTACCCACCTAAAAGAAACATGTTTGAGTTTAGGATATACATGGAAACCTTTCTCAACTCTTTTGATTCTGGAATTCTGGAGCAAGCCCACCAAGTATGACAAACCAATAGATGCTGTTGTAATAACTTGATTTCTTACCAGATTACTGTACTTTTGAACTCTAGTCAAACAAAAAAGTAACATGTGACACTACCACAGCAGAGGCAAGGAGTGTTCACACAAGAGTTTTCCACCATGAGAAGAATTCTAAAAATATAAATCTAAATACGTTTGGAAGAAACATATTTGGACCTTTGAGAACTGGATTTACAAGACTATTTAACGATGAATTCAGAGATGAATCTGTGAAGTCAGCAGCATTTCCTCACATAAATACCTCCTGCATGCTCTATACCAATGAACAGGTCTATGATATGTTTTTTAAGTGATCATATCAATGTTATTTCATTGATGATCCAGGGGCACATCATCTTCTAATCTAAACCATTCTTTGATTCTGTAATCAAAATGGGAAAAATTATATATGTGGACTAGCTTTGAATAAGCATTTTAAAAACAATTTCAAGAAAAATACTAGTGGAACACATACATGCAAACCAAATTTGGTATAAAAACCCATGAGGATTTTTCTTTCTTTCCAGAACTGCATGGTGGAAAGCCTTGAATTTATCACATGTAATGTGACTATAAGCTGTGATCCTGTGTTATCAAAAGATTCAAAATAAATCATTATTTCAAGGAGAATAATGATTCCTAAAGAACTTGGGAATTCATCACATGAAAAGAGACCATATCAATGTCCTCTAGGATATTTGGTTATGATGCAGTAAACCTTATATCAGAAGTGATAGAAAACATATTTTAAATATTGCGGTGGAATGTTTGTGTGTCGGGGGTGTAGAATGATCTCAGGAAGACCTTCTGTGCAACCTATTTTGAAACAGAAGGACAAATAAACTCAATTCAGTGCATGCATTTTTTGAAATATATCCCGTTGCCATCAAATAATATTTACTTCCAAATAAGTGAGCACAACACTGCAGCCGTAGGCTATTTTAATTCATCAGATTGTTTTTAATTGCTTAACATGATGAGAAACAATGGCATATATATTCTGAGTTCTGGAGCTCTATCACAGCCTGTGATTGGGTATAAGGGTATGAAGAAAGATTTTCAAATTCAGCTGCGGTGCAATATGAATAAATGAGAGCTGTGCATTTGTGTCTTCTCTTCAGACTGCCGGTTGGTTGAGGATTGTGGGAAATAAAGTAAATGATACAGTTTTCTGATACTGATCCTGCCTGATTTTTTTTTAAATGTCTTGTGTTCAGTCAGTCAGAGGATCAATATGTGGTATCATTCTGGGCTTATACTGTCTACACAATTTTGTCATAATTAATTCCCAAGTATGAACAACCTGAAATCTGCTATATGGGCAATCCTTTTCTCCATCCCTTCATTATTGATTGTGTAGACTGGGGCTGTTGGAAGTTGGTTTAGCAAAATCTGGATACTGCTCATATACATTATGATCTTTAAAAAAAATTGGCATGCTGTACCATATAATAACTATATCAACAAGGCATGGTTTCTCATTATTCAATAGTAGACACCACCTACATTCCACAAATATTGAATGTTCTTGTCAGCTCCATGTATTATTACACTAATAATTGAGAAAAAAAGTTTACAGTATCTTATGTTTGTTATAATAAAGGTTAATTATTATAAATCAGTATATTCCTACCTTTGATAAAACGAATACATATTTATTTATTGAATTCTAAGATTGTATTAAAATCAATGCCTTTAATTTTTCATCAGAGCTGAGTTCACATACAGTACAAAGCTAAACTTTTAAAAACCTTGTTTTATTGACCATACCATAATAGCCCCGTTTATCCCTAATGCTGTATAGTGTATAATGATGAGGTTTCCACATCATACTTAGCTGAAAAGAAATCATACTAAATTAAGTCTTAGGGTTATGATTAGCCCAAATCTCATGAGATCTCATACAATATTTATATATCTCGAAGGTTCTCTCATGAGATCTTTTAAGACTTCATTTTCTCAAAAGATGTCAATTTTTTGAATGCTTATTAGTCATCAAAAAAAACATAGTACTCATAGTTTGAAGATCTCACATGATTGCCAACACAGCTAATTAACTTTGAAAGTACTGCTATATTTTTCTATTCTTTTACCTCACTATAAAACAAATTATAATTTAGGGTTCCAGAAAATAGTTGCCTTTTCTGCTTAAGAAAAAAAAGAAAAAAGAAGCACATAGAAGTTTTTTCACATATTTTTTCCCATGCTTAATTCCTCAGAGTTTTTAGCCTCATTTATTGGTGATCTCAGGAACTCCTATGTGTGAGACAGATTCTGTGTGCTTTCTAGGAATCATCAAAGACATCCAATGAAACGCTGGCCAACTTGGTCAAAAATATCAATGTGCTTTAGTTTTCAAATTCCTTGTTTCTCCTTAGCAGCAGTTTTAGCAATAGATTTTAGCAAAGGAGACAGCATCACTTGCTGTTATCTGCAGTTGGCATTCCTTGGCCAGTTGGCAAATTTATTATAAAAGGCCCCTCCCTGACCTATCGCTATGCATTGGAGAGGATCAATAACAAGTAAGAAATTTCTGAGAAATTTCCTATCTATAATTAATCTTCTTAGTCATGAGGTGCTAGGAAGGCAGTTGAAAACTCTTGGGCTAACCTATTTTTTCCCCTTCACCACTCTTGCTTGAACTTTAGCTTTCACTTGAATTTCAAAGACTCCCAGTTAAACCAGTTGTACGCTGCCACCGAAATTTTTAGCTGAATAATTGAAAGGGCCTCTTGTTGCTTTGTTTACACTAGTAACAAATTAGAAAATTAGAAATAATTTGGCTGCTGGCATCCTACCTTTGTCCTTTTCTTACAATCAACAAGTTATTTAAGTCTTATGAAGAAATTAGACTTAAACTGTAGAGCCAACAAACTTCTCTTAGCTGTTTTAATGAATCCCACTGATAATCAGTCACAGTCAAGCGAAGAAACAAATCCTTCAGCTTGTAAATGGTTTCCCAGAGCACATCATCACAGCAAAGCAAAGTTGATGCTAACATTGAGAAAGTCAAATGAAGTTATCATTTTAGCCAGAAGAAGATGAGAAGGAGGAAGTCATGGCAAACTTCTGAAGTTTCTGCTGGGATCTTCCTGCTGATTTCTTCTTTTGGAGGAGTAAGAAGAACAAAGCAGGGGGTCTCTATATCAAACTTCTGCCTCAGCTGGTTTGAAGATACTATCCCATAATCCTTGGAGCACCTCTCCAAGGAGAATAGGGAGGGTGGATTCTCTTGTCCATTGCCTTTGTCAGCAAAACATCTATTTGACTGAGCCTATGAGAGGAAGATCCATTTGAGGATGACTTCATTCTTAGGACCTCTCTGAATAGCTTCTTTGTACCATTCCTGGTTTGGCTCCAGATTTGTTCCTTCCTATAATATTTGGTGCAATGAGTTGATGTTGGACTTCTTAAACTGGAGCAAAAAAAAAGTTAACTATGACAAGAGAGGTGCAGAATAACAGTCCCAGTGATAACAGGTGCATCATTACAGCAACAAGCAATGAAACAAATGACGTAATTTTCATCAGTTACATTATGTCACAAAATTTCATTAGTTATATCATTTTCATAGTCCTTGTTAAAAGGATATCTATTTGTGGGGTCAAAATCTCCCCCTATCAGACACACTAATAGAGACTGTATTTTTTACATACAATGATGGTTAACCTATTTTGAAAACTACCTGGTAAAAAATTTCTGCCATGCGATTTGTCCAATTTCTGACTCACAATAGGGTGCTGGATAGAAATATTACAGAAGAAATGGTATCATCACAACAGGATGGACAGATAAATGCAGGCAATATATGTCACATGTCTACTTTTTAAACAACATTCTGACGTTGAATCTGCTTGATATGCAGATTAAAGATGAATTGATCAGGCATACAAATCTTACTGCCTTGCTTGGTTTTGGGACTCTTATGATTTCTTTGCAGATATTTGTATTATTGAGAGATCTCAAGCTGATAGCTATTCCTTATATATGCAGCCAAAATGTCTATTCTGTCAATTTAACATGTATAAAGAGCTATCATTTGGGGGGGGGGGACTGTTATTTATAATGCTTCTATCCTTTCCAATTTCTGACTCATCTAAAGGTTTTCTGCAATATACACCCACATTTATATAACCCTCCTGTGACATTCTTAAAAGAAAATATCAGGTCTTGTTTTTAACACCATGTAATTTGATCCTTAATCAGAAGAAGTGCTAATGCATCAGATATTAATAAACCATATTCACAAACAGATACATAAATAAAGGAATAATGCATACACTATAGGCATCTGAGGAATACAGAATGCCACATCACTTGCAACTTTAGAAGCAGTAATTGCATGCTAGAAGATGCTTCTCTACATTGTTTTAGCTTTTGGCATTTCTCTTTCACAGAAGGCCAAAGGCAATTTCTCAACTCTTCTTTGGCTATAGAAAACTAGTAAAATATGTTTGGAGAATTTACAACAGAAGTGGGAACTTAGGGCCTTCCAGATGTTGCTGAAATACAGCTGCCAGATGCTCCTGCCAGGAGAGGTAATAATATTGTAGTTCAGGGTAGAAATTGTATTTCTGCAGCATCTGGAAAGCCATAGGAATCCCATTCAAGAAGTATATACAGTGCAACTTATTCTAAATGATTATTCTTTTGATGAGGGCATCCTGTCATGTATTGATCTCAAAGATTCCAAAGCAACGCTTTTGTTACCATTAGAACCTGGAAAGATTGCAATTTTCCATTGACGAAATAACAATAAAAATACTAATGTGCATTTCTCCCATTGTTTCTGCTTGCCCCATAAGACCCAATAAAGTGGGCCTTTTTTGAGTCTCTTCCATTAACTGATGGGAATTAGAAGGAATGTTTTTTCATCACAGTCCTTAAACTCTGAAAAAGTATCCCTCCAGATTTTATAATAGCCCCAATTCTGCTACCCTTTGAGCAAACCTTGAACACTGCCTTCTTCTCCAGTTAGACAGGAATGAGCTCATCATAATGGAATTAAGTTTATTATACATTTGGCACGTTTGCTTCCTGTGGTTCTGGCCAACTTTCATTTTCTGTACTGATATAATATTTTGGTGTTATTTTTAATTTGTACACAGCTGCTGTAAATTCAGCAGACTTATAAATTTATATTATAAACAATAACTAAATAAATTTAGTATTGTGCTTAGAAAATAGTAATAAACAAATGCCAGTTAAATTAGAACATAAAAAATACAAAATAAATGCTTTAAAAGGACAAGCAACTCTCAGTATTATAATGGAATATCAACCAAATAATCACTTTACAATAGAAAGGATAAACTAGTTCTACAAAAGTTACAAGCGATATATAACAAATTCAACAGATTTCCTTTGAAATAAAGGCCCAGATTTTTATTTTTTTAAATTTAAATAAAAACCTCTTCTGAAGCCACTCCAATTAAAGCACAACAATCCATCAATAGCTATTTCCTGCATTTACATAAGCATAAAGATTCAGAACATTCACAGATTGTTAAAAAAGAAAATGAAATGAAATAAATCTCCCAAAATAAAACCAGGACTCAGCTACCAAAAAAGGCTGACTGGCAAAGTGACTCATTTCATAATGATAAAAAGATCCTTCTGTTCTTGCTAAAAAGTTTAACAGTATGAGTAACACAGTTCTGTAGTGAATTAAACATTACACATTTTTAATGACTTTCCTTATTTGGTTTGATTTCTTCAAACTGATCTGTAGGCTGGAAATCCAGTTAGTCATTATCCTTACATTGTTTGCAGTGGAAATCCTAATTTCTCTGAGATCAATCCTCATGAAAACTCAGTTCTGGAAAACACACACATACACAATCTACGCAAATTTGAAAGAGTTCTTTTTTCTGATCATATTTCAAGGAAGATAAATAATTCTCTGCTCCCAAGAATAAAGCTGATGTTTCATGTTATCTCCATTACTTAAAGTCAACAGAAAGACAGACACTTTCTTTTCCATGTTGAGTGTGTTGGAAGAGATTGACAGTATGACTCCAAACCCCTCGATGGGACAAATAAATGTTGCCCTCCATGGCTACCTCCCACAGGACTAATTCTTAGCAAAATCCATTTCTCCTGTGGGCAAGAATAAATTTGGGACTGAAAGCCTGAGTTTAAATCTCATCTTTGCCAAAAAGCTCTTTGTTCTGAGCGATCACACCACTAAGGACTGCTGCCTGTTCACAGAGAAGAAGATAAGAAGGGCTGATGATGAAAGGGTCATAATTTTGCCCTTAATAATGGCATATTATCTAAAGAAAAAGTATTCTAATTGATGTGATCAAATGCCAAGTATTGATAGTCCTCCAGATATAACCATAATGGAGTTTTTGACCGACCCCCATCTCTGCTGGCTGCAATGAATCATTAAATGGGTGGTTAAGAAAGCATGGGGTGCCTCAAGGGTTGGGAGGCCCTTGAAGGCCTAGTACAGATCCAGGCCCACCTGTCCTGGCCCTCCCAAACCTTCCGCCCCCCTCCCCAGATATCCTGTGCTCCACTTCCCACCTCTTGGGTCCCTTCAGGCCTTCTCCCCACTCCCACCATATCCCTCAAAGGCCTGATTCCCACCCCACAGGCCAAACATGCTCCTCCTCACTTTTGAAGAGTCTGAGGCCTTCCACAGTGCTGGAATGTATTGCTTCTTTACATGGCCACATGGTGTGGTTCTGGAAAGGTCCACCATTTTGCCCTGCCCACAAAATGGTGTCTATGTTCAAGTCACTGCTGTGCAGCCTAGGAACAAACTGCTCTATGTTGCTGCCTTAACAAGGCCTGCATGGCAGAACAGAAGCTTTCTGCAGCATTTAAGAAGCTTCTGCAGCATTGTGTAGACATTGTTAAGGTAGCAAAGCAAAGCAGGTTGTCTAGTGGCTGCCATTTTGTCCAGGTCCATAAAAAGGAAGGACAAAATGGCAGCTGTGTTTGGGTCACTACAAAATGGCTGAGGAACAAACTGTTTCATTTTACTGCTTTAACAAAATCTACACAGCACAGCAGACACTTTTTTGCAGAATTCAGAAGCTTCTGCAACAGACCTGTTCAAAGCTCATTAAGGTAGCGCGAACAAAGCAACTTGCCTGGAGGTCACCATTTTCTCCCCCCCACACACACGCACAATAGATTGGACAAAATGCATCTGCATTTGGATCACTGCCATGCAGCCCAAAGACATGTGGTCTGTTTTCCTTCCCCAACCTGTGGTCCAGAGAACTTCAAAAGGTAAGTGTGATGGGTGATGGGCATGTCAGGAATAGGCCCAAGCACTGTGGGATCCTGGTGAAGTGGGATGGGGCAAGGAGGTGCTGTAGGTCAGTTCTGTGGTCAATTGAATGAGCTATCATAATTTTAAAACAGGGTTGTATATAATTTGGGCTCATTTATCATAACTTTGAACATTTATTAAGTGTCATATCTTAAGGACCATCTGTGAGTAAATTGTTTTTACAATTTAAATGATTCGTTTAAAACCTGTACATTCCACCTGCCATGGTGGGTGGCTCCAGGCACTGACCAATATTAAAACACATTTATACAGTTTAAAATGATGTATTCATTTTAAAATGTAGAATAATTGAAATATATTCAAACAGATCAGCATTACCATCATAGATTTGTCATGAAGACAAATATACAAATAGACTGGTATGACAAGATGAACAAGAATATTTTCAGCAGTACATACCTAAACTGAAATAAGGATGATGCACATTGTGTTTCTAAAACGAAGAGAGTTATGTTATACAATCCTATTTGGGAATTAGGTTAGAGTTCACAGTGAGTTCTGTTTCAGAAACTCTTCATCTTGACGACAAATAAATATATACAAGACATGGCAAAACTAGGGTGACCTTCACTGGTGATTGCAGCGATTAAAGCCAATCTGTGTGGGAAACTGTCCCATTTATGCAGCCAGTTGTTAGAATCCATTAGTAAGTGGCATAAATGCTTGAATTTTAAGAAGAATAGAAAACATTGAGTATTTAAAAATTTTAAATCATGGTTTGGAGCTAGGTTATATTCTGACTTCAGAGGCAGCAATCAACTTGAAGAGTTGTTTGGTTTGACATCCTAGCACATGGTTTGAGATGACCTCGGAGATTCACAAGATACCCTTCAAAGGATTACCATACATTTGTAAGCCACATAGAGAAACTAGGAAGACCCTTAGATCTTCCAAGTAGGGTGTCACCTCCAAGTGTTGCCTAATAATTCAAGTGAAACATTCCTGGTCTTACTTGATCTTAACCTCAGATACTGTGTTTTCTCTCAGTCTTCATCTCTTCCAGTTTTGATCCCCAAGGAATTCCAACAACTCCTTCTCTCTAGCTGTGTCCTCCTTCAAGGAAGAGTTTCTAAGAACTTCTCATCTGGTTTTCCCCAGTAAATTGT